ATACAAAAATTAATTCAAGATGGATTAAAGACTTAAATGTTGGACCTAAAACCATAAAAACCCTAGAAGAAAACCTAGGTAATACCATTCAGGACATAGGCATAGGCAAGGACTTCATGTCTAAAACACCAAAAGCAATGGCACCAAAAGCAATGGCAACAAAAGCCAAAACTGAAAAATGGGATCTAATTAAACTAAAGAGCTTCCGCACAGCAAAGAAACTACCATCAGAGTGAACAGGCAACTTATAGAATGGGAGAAAATTTTTGCAATCTACCCATCTGACCAAGGGCTAATATCCAGAATCTACAAAGAACTCAAACAAATTCACAAGAAAAAAATCAAACAACCCCATCAAAAAGTAAGCAAAGGATATGAACAGACACTTCTCAAAAGAAGACATTTATGCAGCCAGCAGACACATGAAAAAATGTTCATCATCACTGGCCGTCAGAAAAATGCAAATCAAAGCCACAATGAGATACCATCTCACACCAGTTAGAATGGCGATCATTAAAAAGTCAGGAAACAACAGGTGCTGGAGATGATGTGCAGAAATAGGAACACTTTTGTACTGTTTGTGGGACTGTAAACTTGTTCAACCATTGTGGAAGATGGTGTGGCGATTCCTCAAGGATCTAGAACTAGAAATACCATTTGATCCAGCCATCCCATTACTGGGTATATACCCAAAGGATTATAAATCATGCTGCTATAAAGACACATGCACACTTTTGTTTATTGTGGCACAATTCACAATAGCAAAGACTTGGAACCAACCCAAATGCCCATCAATGATAGACTGGATTAAGAAAATGTGGCACATATACACCATGGAATACTATGCAGCTATAAAAAAGGTGAGTTCATGTACTTTGTTTGGACATGGATGAAGCTGGAAACCATCATTCTCAGCAAACTATTGCAAGGACAGAAAACCAAACACTGCATGTTTCACTCATAGGTGGGAACTGAACAATGAGAACACTTGGACACAGGAAGGGGAACATCACACACCAGGGCCTGTCATGGGATGGGGGAAGTGGGGACGGATAGCATTAGGAGATATATCTAATGTAAATGACGAGTGAATGGGTTCGGCACACCAACATGGCACGTGTATACATATGTAACAAACCTGCATGTTGTGCACATGTATCCTAGAACTTTCAGTGTAAAAAAAAAAAAAAAAAAAAAGATAAGGACAAGAATGTAGCCAGGCCTGTACATAGAACCATGGCTGCCAGAGGAGCCCAGGTTTCTAGACCCATCAACTCACTTGCCGATCTTTGGCTTTCTCGTTTCCCTTCCCAAGCCTCAATTTTCCAGCTGTACTTTGTGTACTTGTGTGTGTGTGTGTGTATATGTGTGCGTGAGGGGAGGGCTAGGCTACTCACCTCTGAGGTCTCTTCAAACTTGGACACACTGTGGTTCTAATGAAGTAGTTAAAGCCTGAGGCAGGAGTCTGGCGGGGGAGCTGGGGCTCCTGAAAGCTATCTGGGGGAGTTGGTACATTGTGGTCTTTTTCTAGAGTGCTTGGTTGCTGACTGAGGACTGGGGAGTTCCATCCCTGCTCATTATCATCTATATAAACTTCAGCAAGTCACCGTAATGCCTCTAATGTCCCAAGGCCAGTTTTACCCCCACCTCGGTAGGACATTGCCCTTGTGGAGAACAGAAGATCCCCTTTGCATCTGATAAGAGGGCTTGCAGCATAGCTGTGAGAGGGACCCGCACCAATAAGTCTCCATTGTGGTTCCCACATCCAGCCTGGCCAGCCCCCTGCACAGCTGGCTCCTTGACAGGCTGCCACCAGACCTCTCAGCCTCCAGGGCTTTGAGCAGACTGGCTCGCCTCTGGCTGATTCTCCTGGGGCAATCACGGGTCTGGACTGTACCATTCCTCCAGCAGGTGCCCCTCTCAGCAGATGGCAGGGGGTTTCACCTTTACCCTGAGTTCATGACATGTATTCATTTATAGGGCTTTAAATTAGGCTGGGGCCAGGCACAAAATGATCAAGACCAGCGAGAGGGAGATGTCTGTGTTGGCCCCTTTAGTTGTGGCCCTAAAGGACATACGCGGAGGGGAAAAAGAAGTTATTTGGAGACACAGTGAGTTCCGAAAGCCCAGGGCTGGCTGGGTCATTTGGAGAAGCCAAAGAGCTTGGTCAGTTAGAAAACAATATCAGCATAAGTTACAGTAGCTGGAGAGAGTTCAGGGAGGGAGGGGAGAAGGCCAGAAGCTCAAAGAGCTCCCTCCTCAAGCCCCCTGACAGCCAGCCAGATACTCCTCATGGAAAGAGGCATTTCAGAAACGATTCCCAATGTCAGGGTCCATTGGCAGAGGTCAGGTGAGGAGAAGCAGTACTAGAAGTAGTGTATGAGCCTGACTGTCCCTTGGTTCTGTAACATACTTCCCTGCCTCGCTGGGTGCCTGCCCTTTCTCTGAGGTTGGTTCTCCCCCTTCCCCAACAAAACTATGAGCCATCCCAAAGCTTTCCAAGTAAATCTGTTTTTGGTTTAACTTAAAAAACAAAACAAAACAAAACAAAATCACAAAGACTCCTCTAGAAAAGCTTCCAGAACTGATAAAAGAATTCAGCATCCGGATACGAAATAAATGCACACAAGTCAGTAGCTCTTCTATACAACAACAGCGACCAAGCTGCGAATCAAATGAAGACTCAATCCCTTTTACAATAGCTGCAAAAATAAAATAAAATAAAATAAAACAAAATAAAATAAAATACTTAGGAGTATACCTAACCAAGGAGTTGAAAGACCTCTACAAGGAAAACTACAAAACACCACTGAAAGAAGTCATAAATGACACAAACAAATGGAAACACATCCTATGTTCATGGATGGGTAGAAGCATTATTGTGAAAATGACCATACTGCCAAAAGCAATCTACAAATTCAGCGCAATCCCCATCAAAATACTACCATTGTTCTTCACAGAACTACAAAAAAAAAAAAAAAAAAAAATCCTAAAATTCATATGGAACCAAAAAAGACCCCACAGAGCCAAAGCAAGATGAAGCAAAAAGAACAAATCTGGAGGCATCACATTGCCTGATTTCAAACTATGGTATAAGTCCATAGTCACCAAAACAGCATGGTACTTGGTATAAAAATAGGCACGTAGAACAATGGAACAGAACAGATAACTCAGAAATAAACCCAAATACTTGCAAGTGATCTTAGATAAAGCAAACAAAAACATAAACTGGTGATAGGACACCGTATTCAACAAATAGTGCTGGGACAATTGGCAAGCCACATGTAGGAGAATGAAACTGAATCCTCATCTCTCTCACCTTATGCAAAAATCAACTGAAGATGGATCAAGAATTTAAATCTAAGACATGAAACTATAAAAATTCTAGAAGATAACATTGGAAAAACCTTCTAGACATTGGCTTAGGCAAGGATTTTATGACCAAGAACCCAAAAGAAAATGCAATAAAAACAAAGATAAATAGCTGGGACATAATTAAACGAAAGAGCTTTTGCACAGCAAAAGGAAGTCAGCAGAGTAAACAGGCAACCCACAGAGTGGGAGAAAATCTTCACAATCTACACAACTGACAAAGGACTAATATCCAGAATCTACAACAAACTCAAACAATCAGCAAGAAAAAAACAAACAATCCCATCAAAAAGTGGGCTAAGGATATGAATAGAAAATTCTAAAAAGAAGATATACAAATGGTCAACGAAGATATGAAAAAATACTCAACATCACTAACAATCAGGGAAATGTAACTTAAAACCACAATGTGATACCACCTTACTCCTGCAGAATGGCCCTATTAAAAAAAATAATAAAAATAAAGATAAAAAAATACACGTTGGCGTGGATGTGGTGAATAGGAAATACTTCTACACTGCTGGTGGGAATGTAAACTACTACAGCCACTATGGAAAACTGTGGAGATTCCTTAAAGAACTAAAAGTAGAACTACTATTTGATCCAGCAATCCCACTATTGGGTATCTACCCAGAGGAAAGGAAGTCATTACATGAAAAAGGTACTTGCACACGATTATAGCATCACAATTCACAATTGCAAAAACATGGAACCGGGCCGGGTGTGGTAGCTCACGCCTGTAATCCTAGCACTTTGGGAGGCTGATGCAGGTGGATCACCTGAGGTCAGGAGTTCAAGACCAGCCTGGCCAACATTGTGAAACCCCGTCTCTACTAAAAATACAAAAATTAGCCAGGCGTGGTGGCATGTGCCTGTAATCCCAGCTACTGGGGAAGCTGACACAGGAGAATTGCTTGAACGCATGGAAGGAGGAGGTTGCAGTCAGCTGAGATCATGCCATTGTACTCCAGCCTGGGTGATAAGAGCGAAAACGCCATCTCAAAAAACAAAAAAACAAACTAGAACCAACCCAAATGCCCATCAATCAATGAGTAGATAAACTGTGGTGTGTGTGTATATATGTATATATGGTGGAATACTACTCAGCTATAAAAAGGAATGAATTAATGGCATTTGCAGCGACCTGGATAATAATGAAGACCATTATTCTAAGTGAAGTAACTCAGGAATGAAAAATCAGACATTGTATGTTCTCACTCATAAGTGGGAGCTAAGCTATGAGGATGCAAACGCGTAAGAATGACACAATGCACTTTGGGGGTCAGAGGGAAAGTGTGGGAAGGGGGCAACGTATAAAAGACTACAAATATGGTGCAGTGTATACTGCTCAGGTGATGGGTGAACCAAAATCTCACAAACCACTAAATAACTTATTCATGTAACTAAACATCACCTGTTCCCCCAATAACCCCAGGCATGGTGGCATGTGCCTGTAGTCCCAGGTACTTAGGAGGCTGAGGCATGAGAATAGCTTGAACCTGGGAGGTGGGGGCTGCAGGGAGCTGAGATCTCCAGCCTGGGTGACAGAGCAAGACTGTCTCAAAAACAAATCAAAAGACTAATGTTTCTACTTTTGATATCAACATAGTAATAAAAGAACAAACAGCTTATAAAATCATTCTCAAGTCTTTAATTAAAATCCATAGAGCATTTAACATGAACAGATGTTTAAACTCTTTCAGTGACTCTCATATTTTAAAATCCTTTGCACAGCATTGTGAGGCTAACTTCATGCTAGAAATCTACAGATAATGTAACACCACAAAAATACATTCGGAGTCCATTCCAATGCAAGTTTAAAACACTTTAATTGGCAGACAATGTAAAGATATTTAAAAACAAAAATTACAAAATGAGCACATAAAAGTCTTCCCTTTTGAATTTTTAATAAAATACTTCTCTGTATAAGATCTAATGAAAAATTCCAGTTATTTATAAAAGTTATGTGAGAAATCAATTAAGATATGTATCTATATATGATCTATATATGTATGAATTACACTATTGTTTAAATGAACAAAATGTTGAACACTTTGACGACACAGCACACCATCTATCACTCATATTAAAATAGATGAAAATACTCAAAGAAGCAGTTGGATACAGGCAAAAGAAAGTATGATACTTGAGGCCAAAAGAAAAAAAAATCCAAAAAACAAAAACAATCTCCCCATCCCCCACCAAACCCTTAACTGTAAGGGAAAGAAAGGAAGAGAGAACTTAAAGCAAACTGTGGACCAAATTCTCATTATTATTATTTAATGAGAAACAGCATGAGAATTTGGCTTCAAATTACTAAAACAGCTACAGAAACTTATTTGGCCTGGACAATTTAATAGTATACCAACTGCTGAAATAACCAAGCGCAGCTGGTATACGGCTGGAGGAAAAAAATCAGACTTTTTACAGCTTTAACTTTGTAAAAAAATGTATCTTTTGGAAACCATAGTCTCCTTCACAAATTGCACTTGAGATAGCTGAATGCATTGATTGAGCAAGGCATTATTATTTGTTCACTGACACACACACACAAAAGCAGCTACAGATAGTTGACATTTTGGACTACTAAAACTATTTTAGACATGTTTTTCTTCTCTAAGAAAATGATCTATGATGTTTGTGAAACTTAACGGCCTGTCTGCTCTGCCATGTTTCCGGAGACCTGATGCTGGTTCAACACTATCTCTTACTGTAATGGAGGAGTTTGATGGAAATATGAATAAAGTCAGTCCAAATGATATTAATTTCTGGAATTTTAAGCTTTATCTTGACCAGGAAAGGAAGCTCCTGCAAAACTGATGGTTTCACTGACAGAGCTTACAAAATGTACATAATGAGCACTGCCAGTTTGAATACTATAATTTATCTCTAGAAAATGACAAATGAACTCTGTAATTGATTTTTAAAGATAGAGAATGACTTTCACAGCCACTTCTCTACAATAAATTGTCTTTTACAGTAAAAACAAAATTTGGAAGCAACATGATACTAAGAAATACAGCAAGCTCATAAGGCTGAGAAATTGTACGGTTGCTTTAAAAAACCTTGCTCTAAATAATGGGAAGAAGTGTGACAGAACTAACTTCAGTGAAGATCTGCACAGTTCTCATATAATAAAGTAAAAATTAGACAACCACTATGAACAGCTATGACTAACACAAAAACTGATACATAAAGAGTAAAAAAGACCCTACAGTTTATCTATTTCCTTGAGCTAGAAAGATATAGTATAGTCCAAAAATGCAGTGACTGGGTATGTCTTTATTTAACTGTTTCTCTTCTTCCATCTGCCTCCCTTTCTCTGCCTCCTCTCATTAAAACCAAGATTCTAGCTTAGTTTGGAAGCAGCAGTCTAAAATGAAAGCAGATACCTGATCATAGAAAAGAAACAATGAAAAGCTTGCATCAATAGTTCTTCATTCCTCCGACCAACTGGGAAAAAAACCCTTCAATCTTTATTAGTTACCCCTTTGAAAAGCAAGAAAAATCTTAAATTGAAACCAAGGTTCAGTACAGATGACTTTAATTTTTTTGTGCAACTGAGTCTTAGATGTTTAAGACTTTAGTCTACATGATGTTTAAATCAATTAATACATTCAGTCAAATTCTAACACTGAGGTAATTATTAGATAATGCAGGAAAATGTGAAAAGGAACAAGACTGGAAGGAGCAATCTTCAAAATTCACTTAAGTTGCTCAAAAAAGAAAAAACTTATTGAATAGAAATATTTAGAAATGTTTCAGTTAGGAGACAAAGGCTTAAATAGACTGAAGTGCTCTAGTTATGTGGAAACATAAAGCAATTTGGGGAATCTGTCCTGTGTGCCCTAAACAGTCCACCATTTTCACAAAAAGCTCTCAGAAGATTCAAGTTGAATGAGCATATTTTTAAACTTTGGGGGTGGTCTTAGTCCACGCCATCTCAAAGAGAAGGTTTTAAATTTATTGAAGTCCAACTGCTTTTCAGATATACTCTAGATTCCAGGCCTATCAACAGATCGTTTCCTCATCACGGGGCAGAAATGGCCTCTGCCTCTTACATCCTCCATAGGGAGGGCACATCTCCCATTGACCTCAGGCCCACATTTGGAATGGGTCTACAGGGGAAAAAGAAAAGAGAATGCCTGACCACTACCCAGCCATTATGGAGCTCTATCCTATCTTAATCTCTTCTCAGTTTTGGCCTTTAGAATAATAATGTTAAAAAAAAAAAAGTAAGGATAATACAACTTTTTCTTTTTGTTTTTTTTGAGACACAGTCTTGCTCTGCTGCCCAGGCTGGAGTGCAGTGGTGCAATCTCGACTCACTGCAGACTCCGCCTCCCGGGTTCAAGTGATTCTCATGCCTCAGCCTCCCGAGTAGCTGGGACTACAGGCATGTGCCACCATGCCCGGCTAATTTTTGTAGTTTTAGTAGAGATGGGGCTTCGCCATGTTGGCCAGGCTTGTCTGGAACTCTGGACCTCAAGTGATCCACCTGCCTCAGCCTCCCAAAGTGCTGGGATTACAGGCGTGAGCCACTGCACCTGGCTGGAAAATAAAACTCACTGCCTATCTGCATAGAACTGTCAGCTTGCTGTGCTCAAATATTGGGGAAGTATCCTTATGGGTTTAGCGCACTATGTTTACTAAAATTTCCCTTTGGAGTTTTCAGAAGATGGCAGGTGCTGCTTCTTCTATGCTCTAAAACAGATGTGAGTTACATGCTATTTATATAACTGTCACACAGGAGTAATGAGTGAGGCAATTTCTAAATGCTGGAGTTTGTACAGCTGAGGTGAAACATTACACACTTTAAAGTAGGAAGAGGTTAATATAAGATTACTGTCACAATTTAACTTTTCTTTGTATTACCATAATAGATGTTTCCTTTAAACACAAATAGAGTTTATAAGGCAATAACGATAAACATTGAGGATTTACTTGAGCCTCATTACTCAAGATCCCACTACAGATAAAGAAACAATGTTGGGAACTGATATACATCTGAACTTATGAAAATAACAGAAAATAAAATCATGGAAACTTATATGACTATGATAAATGACAGATAATGAATATTTCTCTTTTATACTGAAGGCACTGCTAATACACAAATATCCTGCTAACATTTAAACTCTGAAATCAGAAGTTAGTGAAAGGAGTCCATTTAGTTTAATACCAGCATTTTAAAAAACAAATAAGACTACTTTAAGAGTCATGGCAGAGTTTCCAACGAGCTAAATGAAAATCAGATATAACAAGCTGCTCCATATAAAGATTGTGGTTCCTACTTTTAAAAAAGTATGCTATAACTTACTTCCTTAAAAATATAAGCATATCACAAAAACTAAATAATAAATATATATATATATAAACATAGGCCCTGCTGAGAAATCTTCATAAATTCTAAAATAATTTCAACAGTTATAGGTTGAACCACACATTCACATATAACATGCAAAGAGAGAATCCCAGCATCATTGAACAGTTCAGCATAAAGCTAAAAATACAGAATTAGAATGAAATAGGCGGTAAATAATGTATGTCACAAACTGATGACTGTGCCTCCTATATTGTAGCACACCTTGGAACAATTAGAATTTCTTCAGTCCCAGGAAGCACTACATACCGACCAACCATGAAGCTCTCATAAAATGTCAGGTAAGCAAATAAAAAGCCATACAAAATAATACAATTTATTAACATGACTAATATTTCATATTTTGTTAGAAGATTAATTTGTAATCATTGTACCCTGTAGATTTTGAAACAATTTTATTAGAAATTCCTAATGCTGGTTCTTGAGTAATCTAAAAAATTGTATTTACTCAAATTTAGAATGCTATTTATAGTTCTAAGCAGTTAGATGAAATATTCTGATTATTCTAAAGTTGCTTTGGTACAAAATTTAGAATAAAGCAAAACTGGCAGCACCACAACAAATGTGATCCTTTCGCAGCAGGTCTAAGGGTCCCTCAGAGACAACAAAGCGTAAGTTAAAATACATATAAATAAGAGCCATTCTCCTGACAATTTTCTCACATCATTAACAAGGGAAATAAAATCCACATTCAGTAAGTTATACTGGAGGCCCAAATTTCATGCTCCATGTCATTATTCCTCAATGATAGTGTAAAAAATGCTTATTATTGCTAAATGATGTCTAATTCATAGTTCTGGATGCTTCAATGATGAGGCCAATGATTAGAGTGGTACATTTTAATGTTTAGTCCACTGATACTGTGATGTTATTTTAATGCAAGGTTTAATTTAGTTTTTTATTACAGATTTATTGAGGTATAATTGACATACAACAAACTGCACATACTTAAAGTGCACAATTTGATACACAGTCTTTTAAACAGCATGAAAAGTGCCTGATAAATTAAAAATGAAAAAATTTCAATTTACACATCTTTTTTTAAAATAGTACATTCTAATTTTTATGAGATATAGATATGGATTTATAAAAAGGTAGATGGAAAGAGAAGAAACTAATTCCAACAGCCAAATTTACTCAGAAGGTTTAGAAACACCAAAATTGACAGCCAGTTTTCTTGATTTTCTTCTTGAAGAAGAGCTTGGTGTTGACTTATGGTGAGATATACTACGGCCCTGAGAGGCCGTTTCAACTTGAAAAGAAGATGCAGGTTGAGCAATCTGAGAGGACTTCAAAGAAGCTGATGAGCTCTCCTGTGGACTTACTTTGACAATGTTGGAAGAATCTGGCTGGCTGGTCTGAACTGGAGTGGCTTGAGAACTCTGGGCTTCCTTATTCTCAAAGTTCTTTTTGTTTGCAACCCTTTTTTTAGTAACCTGTTAGGAATAAAAGCATCACTAATTAATAATGTAGGCAAAAAAAAATTGGAAATTACCATAAACCATGCATGCTGCTAATATGTCAATCACAGCTGATCTGTGACTTCCACTTATAATTTCCAAGTAAGACTTTAGTAATTCAAAGAACTTAATTACAAACAAAATATTTAAAATTCTTGGGCTGGGTGCAGTGGCTCACAACTGTAATATCAGCACTTTGGGAGGCTGAGGCAGGTGGATCGCTTGAGATCTGGGGTTTGAGACCATGGCAAAACTCCATCTCTACAAAAAAATTACAAAAACTAGACAGGCATGCTGGCACATGCCTGTGGCCTCAGGTACTCAGGAGTCTAAGGTGGGAGGATCACTTTAGCCCAGGAAGTCAAGGCTGCAGGGAGCCGAGATTGTGTGTGGGCTGCGTTCCAGCCTGGGCTACAGAGTGAGATCCTTCTCCAAAAAAATGAATAATAATAAAAAAACAAATAAATACAATTCTCCACAGGTTAAATATTTTAAAAATGTTTGTGATTTTATTTATATTTCAGATTTTAATCAATCTGTATTAGAATAGCATATTACTTGGTACAATTATTATTTATTAGAACACAAACTCAGAGAGCAGGGACAGGTCAGACTTGTCAATCACTGCCTTCTTACTACCCACACTAGTACTGAACTTCTAGTTGGCACTGAATAAGTAAACTGAACAAAAAAATCTTTATCAATAGTCTTTCAGCATTAAACAAATAATTATCTTAAAAATGTAATTTTTCTCACCTGCAGAGGTATAAACTGATTGTGCACACCCCCTGGCATTCCCCCAGCCATGGGCATGGTCCCAGAATATAAAGTATGATGGAAGGGCTTCCCAGGAACTGGCACTGATGGTCCCCATGGCATTGAGCCAAAGAGATGAGATGATGAAGGCATTATATTAGCTGTTAAAAACCAAGGAAAATTTTTCTTTTAGTAAAATGGTATCATCAAAGCTCTGAAATTTGAGACCTCCTTCTGTTAGCCTGTTTGGGCTTTTTGTTTTTTTTGCCTTTAACAAAAGGCCTACACTTACTTCACCTATAATTACTCTTCCTTACAACATTTAACCTCAGGATCCCTTCCTAGGACTGTGTGGACTATCTACAGAAATGAATTTATCATTATACTGGCCTGAAAAGGAGAATACTACTACTAATATCATATGCTGATACAAGTTTTAGGAATATTTGCAATTATATTTATAAAAATAATAAAAGGGTCATGAAATTGTCCCTTGTGAGAGAAAAGCTTGGGCACAAAGAGAGAAATCTTAAGGATCTCACCTGCCCCCAGTGCATAGTTGCTTCCATAGTGATCCCAGCCTACAAAAAAACCAAAAAAGCTCAAGTCCTGAAATCTCATCACCTTCATATGACAGGTAGAATCTTTCTTTTTTCTATTTTAATAATTGGAAGTCAAGGCCTTTTTTCACTTATGGTTTGTTTCTTATTAAAAATGTATTGAACCAATGGGTTCCAAATCTAATTTGTATATCTGAATCACTTGAGGAGCTTGTGAAATACAGATTCCTGGGCAGGGCCTCAGATCTAGTAAGCCAGACTCTGATGGGCCCTAGAGTTTGTATTAAGCTCCATAGGCGATTCTTACGGAGACAGCCTGTACCAGTGCAGCATTTCAAAACTACATTAAACGGTGACAAGGCACCAGCACACTGCCACTGAAGAAGATATGCACTATGTTCAAATATTCTTTTCATAGAGATAAAAAGCAGCCAGACCCATAAAATAGTATAGCTTAATTAAAGTTCAGCTATTTAAGACATTTTTGAATTAGGAGAGAAGAATCATAACATATTTCAGTGTTATGAAATACACATACACAAATTCTAAGAGGAAGAAAACTTGTAATATGAAAAACACTAATAAGATTCAGAAAATTATGTAAAAATAAATGTTAAAAATAATTTTTTTTAAATTTATTTTTTTTATTTTTTATTTTATTTTATTTTATTTTTTTTAAACATGAGCAGTGGCTCATGCCTGTAATCCCAGCACTTTGGGATGCCAGGCATGGCATGTGGCTGTGGTCCCAGCTACTCAGGAGGCTAATGTGTGAGGATCGCTTGAGCCTGGGAGGCGGAGGTTGCAGTGAAGCAACATCAGGTCATTGCAATTTAACTTGGCTGAGAGAGTAGAGAACTTGTCTCAAAAAAGAAAACAAAAGTAGAAAATTAGGTCTTGAAACTATCTACGAGCAACTTTGGTGGGAGTCATAATGCTAAGAAGGTCTATTTAAAAGATGCTATGCTAATCTTATACAATGGTCAACTCCGTAATTTCCCCAATAGATCACTGTTATAAATATGAAATACATATTCCTCAACTGGGACATTTTATGAGATAAATTTTTTTATAACATAAAATAGAAATTTACAAAATAACTTTAAAATGTTAATTTAATGCTTAAGTTGTTCTCTGCTGATTAACCTTCAAATATCTTGGCATTTATGTATTTACATATTTTAACTGGAATATTTGGAGAACACCTTTATAGGACCAAAAGCATTCCAATTATAACCTTAAAATTATTAGTAGGTATGAATAAACTAATCAACATGAAAAAGGCTAAAATATCAATAATAAATGGGGAAAATAATCATTCCTCTTAAAAAATATATGATCATAAGACAATTCTGTTTTTAGAGAAGTTTGTGTGCAAACTTTTAGGTACTCTACACATATTAATTAAAATTAATCTATATATAGCTACTGTATTCATTTTTGAATGTGAAGAAGCAGCAGTCAAATTAGATTTTATAAGTTATGGGGATACTATTATATTGAGCTATACAAAAATATCAGATCCATTATGTCATGAAAACTTTATGACTAAAACATTGTTGGCCGGGCACAGTGGCTCATGCCTGTAATCTGGCACTTTGGGAGGCCGAGGCTGGCGGATCTCTTGAGCCCAGAGTTTGAGACCAACCTAAACAACATGGTGAAACCCTGTCTCTACAAAAAGACACGAAAATTAGCCAGATGTGGTGGTGTGTGCCATAGTTCCAGCCACTTGGGAGGCAGAGGCAGGAGGATCAACTGAGCCCAAGGAGGTCGAGGCTTCTGTGAGCCCTGATCATGCCACTGCACTCCAGCCTGGGTGACAGGAGTGGCACTCTGTCTCAAAAAAAAAAATCCAAGTCTGTCGTCATCTGTGTGTGTTTTTTTTTTAGACCTAGGCTAGAGTGCAGTGGCATAATCTTGGCTCACTGCAGCCTCCACCTCACAGGCTCAACCAATTCTCCTGCCTCAGCCTCCTGAATAGCTGGGAACTACAGGCGCACGGCACCACACTCAGCTAATTTTTTCTATTTTCTGTAGTGACAAGGTCTCCCTATGTTGCCCAGGCTGGTCTTGAACTCATGGCTCTAGTGATCCTCCCACCTCAGCCTCTCAAAGTGCTGGGATTACAGGTATGAGCCACCACACCGGCTATCTGTTTTCAAAGCCCATGCTTTTGTTACTGTACTGAATTGGCATTCCTTTGACTGTATAAAAAATGTTTTCTTTTGTTTTGGTTTGGGCCTTTGGGGGTTTTCTTGAGACAGGCCTTCCAAAGTGCTGGAAATACAGGCATGAGCCATCATGCCTGGCTCAGACTTGGATTTTGAATGCCAGTTTTGCTAGATAATAACTTACGACCTTAGACAAATTACATTAAAAAAAAAAATCAAAATACTACTATACATTGTACTAAAAAAGATTTTCTTCTTTTTTTTTTTTGAGATGAAGTCTAGCTCTGTAGCCCAGGCTGGAGTGTAGTGACACAATCTCAGCCCACTGCAACCTCTGCCTCCTGGGTTCAAGCAATTCTCCTGCCTCAGCCTCCTGAGTAGCTGGGACTATAGGTGTGTGCCACCATACCCAACTAATTTTCAAATTTTTATATTTTTAGTAGAGACGGTTTCACCATGTTGGTCAGGCTGGTCTTGAACTCCTGAGCTCAAATGATCCACCTACCTCGGCCTCCCAAAGTGCTGGAATTACAGGCGTGAGCCACTGTGCCTGGCCTAAAAAAGATTTTCAGCAGAAAACAGCAGACATCTGTTCTACTCTAGGTTTAACTGTTTTAGATATTTATTTCCACACTGTTCAATAATTTGCTTATGCTACTTGTTAATAATTTATTAATTTTAGGCATTTTTATGTCTACTGACTTCCTATTTAGATAGAACAAAATTCAGTTTTTTTGCATTACCCCTCACTACTTACCCTGTACTCCCAATGTAAGTACATTACATCATTTGTTTAAATATACAAGCAGGGTTATCTATTTGTGGTATGTGGCTATGTAAATATTATCACTGCAGAGCCAGGCTGGGTACTCTGATTATGTTTCTTGTAAGAAGAGATCCATTATGTACTTTCTTGTAAAACCTTTTGTTTTTACTTGAGTTGGTCATAATTTTTTTTTCTTTTTTTTTGAGACAGGTCTCATTCTGTCACCCAGGCTGGGGGGCAGTGGCATGATCACAGCTCACTGCAGCCTTGACCCCCCAGGCTCAAGTGATCCTCCCAAGTAGCTGCGACTGTAGGTGCATGCCACCATGTCTGGCCACTTTTTTATTTTTTGTAGATTAGAGATGGGGTTTTATCATGTTGCCAGGCTGTTTCGCCATGTTGCCCAGGCTAATAATTATTTTTTAAAAGCTTAGTCTTGCTTATATCAATTCTTTAGGAAAAATATAATAAAAGCTGCTCAGTCTTCTCTATATCCCTCCTTAATGTCTTCCTGCTGCTCATCTATTAATAACCTTACTGCCAAGACTTCCCTCTGCCTCTCCAGTTGGGACTAGTCACTTTCTAGACCCACTGAGCAGCTGGCATCCTGGGATTTTCATTCATTGTATAACTATACTAGATCTGCAATTTGTCATTTTGGTTTCCTAATTTTCTTTTTTAAACTGCTGCTTTGTTTTGTTGGAGCATATAATTCAGTAGTTTCTTAAAAGAGGGTAGGCAAGGCATGATGGCTCACGCTTGTAATCTCAGCATTTTCAAAGGCTGAAGTGGGAGGATTGCTTGAGCCCAGGACTTTGAGATCAGCCTGGGCAATATAGTGAGACCTTGCCACTTCAAAAAAAAAAAAAAAAAAAAAGGTACATAAGAAATACATTTGCATATCTGAAAATATCTTTTTGTCTCCTTTATACTGGATTCATAGTTTGGCTATACAGAGAAATTAGGATGAAACTCATTCTGCCTCACGGTTTTGAGGTATTCAATGCTTTCTGGCTTCTAGGCACTGTTCAATAGTGCAGTACCATCCTAATTCTTGTTCTTTTATATGTACTGTATTTCTTCTCTTCTCTGAATCTCTTAGGACCATTTTTATCACTAGTATTCAGAATCTGAAGATAATCTGTGTCTTTATTCATTGTGCTCAACATTTGGGGGCTCTTTTAGAGATGCACATCATTTTGTTTTAGAAAAGTTTCTTATTTGTTTGACACTTACTCCCCTTCCTTCATCTCTGATTTCTTTTTCTGGAACTCCAATAACGTGGGAGCTGGATCTGTGCACTAAATCTCTGTTCTTTCTTATTTTACAACTTTTATCTTCCTTAGCTTTGCTAGGACTTTATCTACTAAATTTTAAAATTTTAGTTAACAATTTTACTTGTTCTCTAATTATTCTTTTTTCATCTTCCAATTTCCTATCTGGGGAGAAGGGTATGACTCGCTACAATCTGAGAATAGGATGAGGAAAAGGGAACTTTTCCTTAATCTCTGTGTTTTCAGTCTCACATTCCATTCTCTTCTCTGCCTGGTATTCCCATATCTAGAGAGCTCCTCTAGAAAACACACCTCCAGTTTTTTGCTTGTAGCGGTCTGGCTGCGTTGCGGAGGGATGAAGGGGGTAGTCTTACCACTCCACACGTAGACTTTCAACTAATCCCTCTCTTTTTAGCACATGCCTCCTCTTTATCTTCTCTAACAGTTTCTGATGCTTCCAAGTTCTGAACCTCTTGGGAACGGTGAGGGACAATCTACTTATCATGCTCATTTGTAATCTCTTCTATGGGTACTTTAGCTTGTAGCTTTTAACCTTGCTCTGCTAAAATGGTTACTTCTTTAGTTGTTTTTCTCAACACAACCTCTTTTCAAATCTCTAATCTGCTGATATTTCTTCTCCTGTCTCTTTGTCCTCGTAGATTTACACTTTTGAAATCCTTTATTATTCAGTTTAATGAGAAGAGATAACTGCATGTCATAAATTTAATCAGTATTATTCACTTTTCTAATGCTTATTGTAAGCATTATTTAGAATTCCTGGAATATTGCCTGGCAGTAGATGCAGAAAAGTGATTTTCTAAACTTAAATAAATTATTATTATTATTATTATTTTTTTTTTGAGACGGAGTCTCGCTCTGTTGCCCAGGCTGGAGTGCAGTGGCGCGATCTCGGCTCACTGCAAGCTCCGCCTCCCGGGTTCACGCCATTCTCCTGCCTCAGCCTCCCGAGTAGCTGGGACTACAGGCGCCCACAACCGCGCCCGGCTAATTTTTTGTATTTTTAGTAGAGACGGGGTTTCACCGTGGTCTCGATCTCCTGACCTTGTGATCCGCCCGCCTCGGCCTCCCAAAGTGCTGGGATTACAGGCGTGAGCCACCGCGCCCGGCAAATTACTGGCTTTAAAACAATAATAATTAAGATACAGGGAAGCCAACTGCTATTAAGGAAAAAAGCTGAGTGATTTAGAAAATCTCAGAACTTAAGATTTAGAATTATAAAATGTTAGTCTCAACAAAATTTTGGACATAGTCTACTACAAATAAGAAAATACAGTCCTGAAGAAATTATATGATTTTTTTTTTACCTTTTGATATCTAACTTAAACCCAAATTCATGTTAGGAGCTATTGGAGAATAAGAGCCTACCTACTCAACCTTTTCTTACTACTCTAGCCATACTAGAGGCTATAGGAAAAGAATGGCATTTCTAGATGAATCTGCAGGCTGTGGCTTTGGACTTTCTCACAATTTCTTAACATTCCTAGATATTTGAGTACATTTTTTATTTCTTAAAAGAGACGCTTCTTAAAAGAGCTTAGTAAAAATAACAATGACAAATACTTATACATGAAAAATATCTTACCAGTAGGTGGGGGAAAGACTGGAGGAATGGTTCCAGGTGGCACAGCTGAAGGATAATTTGCAAATACTGGTGAAGGCAAAGGGAAATTCGTGCCTAAGGATCCCTGTGGAAGTATTTAAAAGTTACAAGAGAGTGAAATACAAGCTTTCTACAGAGACTAATAAAACATTTAATAGAGAAGTCATGGACAGTTCTTACCAATTGTTGTAAAGCAAAAAGTGCAGCTTTCTCCTTGGCTTCATTTTCAGAGTGGCACTGTGGCCCATGTATCAGTAAGCCATTAGATAATTTTACTTGGCAAACAGTCATTGTCTAAATAAAGAGAATATATTTGTCTATGAAATTCTCTGTCCAGGAAGTTGATCTCCCCCGAAGTTTAGTCTAAACAAGTAAAATAATTTTATCAAGAATTTAAAAAAGGGCTTTCAGTTCAAGTTTTCAATTGCCAGGCAAAAATTTTAGAGTTGTTGCCTTATATTTTTCAGTGTTTACAAAATAAAAAGCTTTCTAAGCTGGCTGAAGGGTCAAGCAACCGAATGCAAATGAAAGCCAGCAAAACTGTTTCCTTTATACAGGGGTTGACAAACTACGGAGTTCTACCTCTTTTTGTAAATAAACTTTTACTGGAACATAGCCACATCCATTCTAATGGCTACTTTCACACTGTAACTGTAGAGTTCGAAAGCTGTGATAGAGACCATCTGGCCCACAAGGCCTAAAATATTTACTATCTGACTCTTTACAGAAAAAATATGCTGACTCATGTTTATATCATCCTTTACTTAGGAGGTATTTTGGTAATATGAGTTAATTGCCAAAATATAAAAGACTCAGATATTCTGATGTGTTTTCTACTCATATTTAAATTATAACTACATTATACTTTAATTTTCCGTTTTATAAAAAAGCTTGTTTTGTTTTGGTGTACCTTAATTTTTTTTAAAAAATAGACTTGGGGGTACAAATGGTAGTTACATGGATATACTACATAGTGGGGAAGTGTGGACTTTAGTGTACCCATCGCCTGAATAGTATACATTGTACCCAGTAGGTCGTTTCTTATCCCTCGCATCCCTCTTAACATCCCATCTTTTGAAATCTCTAATGTCTATTATTCCACTCTGTATGTCCATGTTTAGCTCCCATTTATAAATGAGAACATGTGGTATCTTTCTATTTCTGAATTATTTCACTTAGGATAATGGCCCCCAGTTCCATTCATGTTGCTGCAAGACACATGATTTCATTCTTTTTATGGTTGGATAGTATCACATGGTGTGTGTATACATACACACACACACGCACACATACACCACATTTTCTTTATCCAGTCATCCACTGATGGACACTTAGGTTGATTCCATATCTTTGCTACTATGAATAGTGCTGTGATAAACATACAAATGCAGGCATACTTTTTAGATAATCATTTCTTTTCCTGGGGCAGATACCCAGAAGTGAGACTGCTGAATTAAATCATAGTTCTATATTTAGCTCTTTGAGAAATCACTATACTGTTTTCATACAGGTTATACTAATTTACATTCCAACCAACAGTGTATAAACACTCCCTTTTTGCCACATCCTTGCCAAAATCTGTTGTTTTTTGACTTTTTTAATAATAGCCATTCTGCCTGGTGTGAGATGGTATCTCATTGTGGCCCAAAACTGCACTTCTCTGGTAATTAGTAATGTTGAACATTTTTTTCATGTTTGTTGGCAACCCCTTGAGATGTCTTCTTTTGAGAATTGTTCACTCACGACCTTTGCCTGTTTTCAATGGGGTTATTTGTTTTTTACTTGTTATTTGAGTTCCTTGTAGATTCTGGATATTTAAAGTCCTTTGTCAGATACATAGTTTAAAAATACTGCAGATTGATTGTTTACTCTGTTGATTATTTCTTTTGCTGTGCAGGAGCTTTTTAGTTTAGTTAAGTCTCATTTGTCTATTTTTGTTTTTGTTGCATTTGCTTTTGAGATATTAGTCATAAATCTTTGTCTAGGCCAATGTCCAGAAGAGTTTTTCCTATGTTTTCTTCTAGGATTTTTATCGCTTCAGGTCTTACATTTAAGACTTATTTTCTAAGTTCTCTATATATTCTGGATATTCTTTATCAGATATATCATTAGGAAGTATTTTCTCTTATTCTATGAGTTACCTTTTTCACTCTTGTTATTGTCTTTTGATGCACACAATGTTAACATTTCCATGAAGTGCAATTTGTCCATGTTTTCTTTCATGGCCTGTGCATCTGGTGTCACATCCCAGAAATCACTGCCAAATCCAGTGTTGTGAAGCTTCTGCCCTAAGTTTTCTTCTAAGACTTTTATAGTTTTAGGCCTTATCTTACATTTAGGTGTTTGATCCATTTTGAGTTAATTTTCATATATTATGTTAGTTAGGTAAGTTCTTTAAAATGTGAATATCCAGTTACCCAGCACCATTTGCTGAAAGATCATTCACTTTTTTTTTTTTTTTTTGAGATGGTGTCTCACTCTGTTGCCCAGGCTAGAGTACAGTGGAGTGATCCTGGCTCACTGCAACTTCTGCCTCCCAGGTTCAAGCAATTCTCTTGCCTCAGGCTCCCAAGTAGCTGTGATTACAGGTACATGCCATCATATCCAGCTAATTTTTTGTATTTTTAGTAGAGACAGGGTTTCACCACATTGGCCAGGCTAGTCTTGAACTCCTGACCTCAAGTGATCTGCCTGCCTCGGCCTCCGAAAATGCTAGGATTACAGGCATGAGCTATTGCGCCTGGCTATCCACTTCCAATTGAATGGTCTTGACACCTTGTCAAAAAATACTTTGAACATGTATGCAAGGGTTTATTTTTGGGCTATCTATTCTATTCCACTGGGATTTTGATAGGGATTGCATTGAATTTGTAGACTGCTGTGGGCAGTATTGAGATCATAACAATAATAACTCTTCCAATCCATGAACACAGTGTGTCTATTTATGTCTTTTTACATGTCTTTCAGCAACATTTTGTAGTTTTTAGTGTATAAGCACATCATTTCTTTTGTTACATTTATTCCAAAGCATTTTATTATTTTTGATATTATTATAAACACTTTTGATACTATCATAGTTTTCTTAATTTCCTTTTCAGATTTTTCACTGTTAGTGTATAAAAATACAACTGATTTTTGTGAGTTGATTTTGTATTCTGCAACTTTGCTGCATTTATTAATTGGGATTTTTTGTGGAATCTTTAGGGTTTTCTACTATAAGATCATATCATCTGCAAACAGATACTGCTTTACTTCTTCCCTTCTAATTTAGATGTCTTTTATTTATTTTTCTTGCTTAATTGCTCTGGACAGAACTTCTGTTACTGTGCTGAATAGAAGTGGTAAAGTAGGCATCTTTGCGGTGGCCCTGATTTTAGAAAAAACTGCTTTCTGTTTTAGGTTAGAGGGTATCAAGAACTGGATATAAAGAGAATAAAAACTTTCTTGTGGCCAGTAGATCTCAAAGTGCATTCTGGGGATGGCTGAGGGTCTGTGAGACCCTTTCGGGAGCCACTGAGATCAAAACTATTTTCATAATAATATATGCACATATTTTTTAGAGTTGGGGTCTCATTCTGTTGCCCAGGCTGGAGTACAGTGGTGTGATCAAGGCTCACTATAGCCACCAACTACCAGGTTTAAGCAATCCTCCCACATCAGCCTCCTGAATAGCTGAAAAAATAGGTGGGTACTACCACACTTAGCTGTTTTTAAAGTTTTTTTAGAGATGATGGCCGGGCACAGTGGCTCACGCCTGTAATCCTAGCACTCTGGGAGGCTGAGGTGGGCAGATTACCTGAGGTCAGGAGTTTGACACCAGTCTGACCAACACAGTGAAATCCTGTCTCTACTAAAAATACAAAAATTAGTTGGGTGTGGTGGCGCTTGCCTGTAATCCCAGCTACTCTGGAGGTTGAGGCAGAAGATTCGCTTGAACCTGGGAGGGGAAGGTTGCACTGAGCACGCGCCACCGCACTCCAGCCTGGGCGACAGAGCAAGGCTCTGTCTCAAAAAAAAAAAAAAAAAAAAAAAGATGAGGTCTTTCCCAGGCTGATCTCAAACTACTGAGCTCAAGTGATCCTTCTGCCTCAGCCTCCTGAGTTGTTGGGCTTACAGGTGTGAGCCACTGCACCTAGCTTATGATAATACTAAGGTGCTATGCCCTTTTTCCCATTACTTTTTCTTATTTCCTGCTTTCTCACAGTATATGGAGGACAAAATGTTTATTGATAAGATTTCAGATTCCACACTGCAAGATCCTACACTACAACTAACCTTAAACAAAGTACCACTTTTAAGGTGTTTTTTTTTTCTTAATGGAGTTTTGCTCTGTCACCGAGGCTGGAGTGTAATGGCACAGTCTCAGCTCAGTGCAACCTCTGCCTCCCGGGTTCAAGCGATTCTCACGCCTCAGCCTCCTGAGTAGCTGGGAGTACAGCTAAGCACGACCACGCCCGGCTAATTTTTGTATTTTTAGTAGAGATGGGGTTTCACCATGCTGGCCAGGCTGGTCTCAAACTCCTTATCTCAAGTGATCTGCCCGCCTTGGCCTCCCAACGTGCTGGGATTACAGACGTGAGATACCACGCCCGGCCCACTTTAAAGTTTTAATGTAATATTAAAGTATAGCCAAAACTATCTGAAAAGGCTACTAAGATTCTCTTCATTTTTCTAATTTTATATCTGTATGAGGTCATATATTTCTACCAAAAAGAAAACCATATAACTAGTGATTGACAGTATTAAGCAGACAGGAGAATCTAGCTTCTCCTATTACAATTGTGCTGAGAAAGATGATTAAAATGTAGAGCAGGACGGGCATGGTGGCATGTGCCTGTAATACTAGCACTTTGGGAGGCCAAGGTGGGAGGATTGCTTGAGGCCAGCCTGGGCAACAAAATGATACCCCATCTCTTTAAAAAAAAATTAGAGTAATATCACTCTTCTAACTAAATTTTTAAAGTAGTTAATATTTTTTACTTTGTTTTTATTAATTTTTTTTGTTTCTAGTTTTATGAATACATAATAGTTATAATACACATTTATGGGGTATGTGTGACATTTTGATACAAGGATACAATGTATAATGATCAAATCAGAGTAACTGAGATATCCATCACCTCAAGTATTTATGATTTTTGCTGTGGTAGGAACATTTCAATTCTACTCTTTTGGTTATTTAAAAATATACATTATTGTTAACAATAGTTGCCCTATTGTGCTACTGAAGACTAGAACTTATTCTAACAGTATTTTTGTATCCATTATCATGCACTCTTCCTCTCCTATTAATACCATCCCCATTCCCCTTCTTTCCCTCTAATAACCACCATTCCACTCTCTATCTCCAAGAGGTCAAATTTTTTAGCTCCCATGAGTGACAAAATGTGTTTTTTTGTGCCTGGCTTATTACTTTTAATACAGTGCCCTCCAGTTCTATCCATGTTGTTGCAAATAACAGGATTTCATTCTTTTTAGGGCTGTATAATATTCCATTATATATCTATATCTATATATATTTATAGATACACACACATTTTCTTCATCCATTTATCCATTGATGGACACTTAGGTTGATTTTGTATCCTGGCTTTTCTGAATAGCACTGCAATAAACATGAGAGGGCAAATATCTCTTATATATACTGATATCTTTTCTTTTGGACCTATACCCAGCAGTGGAACTGCTGGATCACATGGTAGCTCTATTTTTATCTTTTTGAGCAATTTCCATACTGTATGTCCTTCATAGTGGCTGTACTAATTTACGTTTCCACCAACAATGTATGAGGGTTTCCCTTTCTCTGCATCCTTACTAGCATCCATTATTGCCTGTTTTTTTTTTTTTTTGGTAAAAGCCATTTTAATTGGAGATAATATCTCATTGTAGTTTTGATTTACATTTCTCTAATGTAGTGATGTTGAGCATTTTTTCATATACCTGTTGGCCATTTGTATGTTTTCTTTTTAGAAATGTTTGTTGAGATCATTTGCCCATTAAACATTGTTATAGTTATATTTTATTTTTTTAAAAATTCAACTTTTGTTTAGATATGGGGGTATATGTGCAGGTTTGTTACATCGGTATATTGCATTTGCCCACTATCAAATGGGATTATTTTTTTTTTCTCTGAGTTGTTTGAGCTTTTTATATATTCTGGTTATTAATATCTTGTCAGATGGGTAGTTTACAAATATTTTCTCCTTTTCCGTGGATTGTCTTTTCACTTTGTTGATTGTTTCCTTTGCTGTGCAGAAGCTTTTTAAGCTTGATGTGATACCATTTATACATTTTTGCTTTAGTTGCCTGTGCTTTTGATGTCTTACTTATCTTTGCCCAAATCAATGTACTGGAATGTTTCCCCACTGTTTACTTCCAGTAGTTTAATAGTTACAGATCTAACATTTAAGTCTTTAATCCATTTTGATTTGATTTTTGAAAATGGTGAGACAGGCATTTAGTTTCATACCCTTAAATATGGATATCTAGTTGTCCCAGGACCATTTACTGAAGGGGCTGTTCTTTCCCTAATATATGTTCTTGGCATCTTTATAAAAAATAAGTTGACTGTAACTATGTGGATTTATTTCCGGATTCTCTATTCTGTTCCGTTGGTCTGTGTGTCTGTTTTTAAGCCAGTACCATGTTGTTTTGGTTACTATAACTTTGCAGTATAATGTCTCCAGCTTTGTTCTTTTTGCTCTGGATTGCTCTAGCTATTCAGGGTCACGTGTGGTTCAAGATAAATTTTAGGATTTTTTTTTTTTTCTATTTCTGTGAAGAATATCATTGGTATTTTGAGAGGGGTTGCACTGAATCTGCAGATTGCTTAGAGGTGGTTTAGACATTTTAACAATATTGATTCTTCCAATACATGAACATGGACAATCTTTCCATTTCTTTGTGTCTTCTTCAATTTCTTGCATCATTATTTTATAGTTTTCATTGTAGAGATCTTTCACTGCTTTGGTTAATTTGATTAATTTCTAGGTATTTTATTTGCAGCTATTGTGCAGGGGATTAATCTCTTGATTTCTTTTTCAGATTGTTTGCTGTCAGCATATAGAAATGTAACTGTTGATTTTGTATCCTACAACTCCACTGAATTTATCAATTTTAACAGTTTTTTTCTAAATATAAGATTATATTGTCTACAAACAAGAGCAGTTTGACTCCTTCCTTTCCCTTTTGGATGCCTTTTATTTCTTTCTGTTGTCTAATTGCTCTGGCAAGCATTTCCAGTACTATATTGCATAACAGTGGTGAAAGTGGGCATCCTTGTCTTGTTTCCAGAATTTAAAGGAAAGGATTTCATTTTTTCCCCATTCAGTATGATACTAGCTGTGGGTTTGTTGCTGTTTATTATGTTGAGGTATGTTCCTTCTATACCCAGTTTGATGAGAGTTATCAAAAAGAGATGTTGAATTTTATCAAACACTTTTTCAGTAAGTATTGAAATGATCATATAGTTTTTGTCCTTCATTTTGTTAAAGTGTCAGTTATTGACTGCATATATTGAAACATCCTTGCATACCTAGGATGAATCCCACTCGATCACGATGAATTATCATTTAAATGTGCTGTTGAATTCAATTCACTAGTACTGTGCTGAAGATTTTATATCTAGTTCATCAGATATATCGGCCTGTAGTTCTCATTTTTTGTTATGTCTTTCTTTGGTTTTGGTATCAGGGTAATATTGGCAAGTCTGGAAGTATTTTTTCCTCAAGCTTTTGGAACAGTCTGAGTATAACTGTTATTAGCTCTTCTTTCAGTGTTTGGCAGAATTCAGTAGTGAAAACACCAGGTCCTGGAGACTTTTTAACTACTGCTAGGAGTAAAAAGTACTTTTTACTACTGCTAGGAGACTTTTTACTACTGTTTCCATCTTGTTAATGTTGTTGTTCTACTTAAGTTTTGGATTTCTTCATGGTTCAATCTTGGTATGTTTTATGTGTCTCGGAATTTATCCATTTCTTCTAAGTTTTCCAATTTATTGTATATAGTTGCTCATAATAGTCTCTAAAAATATTTTGAATTTCTGTGATATCCGACGTAATGACTCCTTTTTCATCCCTGATTTTATTTATATGGATATTCTCTTTTACAGTCCGGCTAAAGGTTTGTTGATCTTGCTTATCTTTTCAAAAAACCAACTTTTTCTTTCATCAATCTTTTGTACTATTTTTAGTATCAATTCATTACTTTCTGCCCCAATCTTTATCATTTCTTTTCTTCTAATAATTTTGGGTTTGGTTTCTTCTTGCTTTTCTAGTTATTATTTATTTTAAAAATTTGTATAAATGTAAGGGGTGCAAGTGCAATTTTGTTACATGGATTTACTGCACAGTGGTGAAGTCTGGGCTTTTCTTATATTCATCACCTGAATTATGTACATTGCAGCCATTCAGTAATTTCTCACCATCTACTCCCCGCCCATTCCCCACCCTTCCAAGTCTCTAATGTCTATTATTTCACACTCTACATCCATATGTACACATTATTTAGCTCCCACTTATAAATGAGAACATGTGGTATCTGTTTCTGAGTTGTTTGCTTAAGATAATGGCCTCAGTTCTATCCATGTTGCTACAAAAGACATGGTTTCTTTCTTTTTTAAATGTCTGAACAATATTTCATTGTGTATGCATACACCACATTTTCTTTATCCGATCATCTGTTGATGGACACGTAGGTTAATTCTACATCTTGGCTATTGTGACTAGTGCTGCAATATACACACAAGTCAGGTATGTTTTTTATGCAATTTCTTTTCCTTTAGATAGATACCCAGTAGTGTGACTGCTGGAACTAATTCTTCAAGACACACTGTTAGGTTGTTTATTTGAAGTTTCTATACTTTTTGGATGTAGGGATTTATTGCTATAATCTTCCCTCCTAGTACTACTTTTGCTGTATCCTTTAGGTTTTGGTATGTTGTGTTTCCATTTTCATTTGTTTCAGGAAAATTTAAAATTTTCCCTTTTTTCATTGACCCAATGGCCATTCAGAAACATAATGTTTAATTTCCATTTATTCATACAGTTTCCAAAGTTCCTCTTGTTATTGATTTCTGGTTTTATTTCACTATGGTCAGAAAAGATACTTGATTGAATTTTAATTTTTTGAATTTTGTGAGACTTGTTTTGTGGCCTATCCTTGGACCAATATCCAAGGATATTTGGTCTATCCTTGAGAATGTTGCATTTGTTGAGGAAAGAATGTGTATTCTACAGCTGTTGGATGAAATGTTCTACAGATGCCTATCAGGTGAAAGTTATTTTTAATAAACAATAGATTAATAAACATATAGGTTTACTTATAATATTTTATATAGATAAAATTTTATATATATATACATATATAAATAAATATTTCAGAGACAAGGTCTTGCTCTGTTGCCCAGGCTGGAGTGCAATGGTATAATCATGGCATCATGGCATCATGGCTCACTGAAGTCCTGACCTCCTGGGCTTCTGTCCTCCTGCCTCAGCCTTGTGAGCAGCTGGGACTACAGGCTCACAACACACGTGGCTAATTTTATATTTTTTTGTAGAGAAGAGGTCTTGTTATGTTGCCCAGGCTGGTCTTGAACTCCCAGCCTCAAGCTGTCCTCATGCCTTGGCCTCCCAAAGTGCTGAAATTACAGGCATAACCCACTACACCCGGCCAATTTTTTTGTTTTAATTTCGAACACAGTAAATATGGATATAAGCAAACAAAATCTCTTTGGGGTCCTCCAAAAAAAGTGTGGAGTTTCTGAGACCAAAAAATGTGAAAACTGCTACTGCAGGCCAAGGTCCCTGGCTCTATTAGTCTGAGTAATCTTGCCAGGATACCTGTAGCCCAGTTCCTCCCTGTCAGTGTCTCTTAGGGCTTTGGTTATGTATAAATATTAAAGCTAGGGTAAAAAGCATAAATCTATGCTGCTCATAAAGAAAATTAGGCCCCATTACATTTTTTCTAGCTAAACATTTTCAACCTATTTAAGCTTAATGTTAAATAATTTATATAAATGGAACAGTAGTATACTATACCTGCGGCGTCCTAAGAAAGGAGAAATCAGGTTGTGGCATTCCAACAAGGGAACAAATTCGAGAAAGTTCAGTTACTGGTGTGGATACAGGAGGGATCTGGCTGGGGGCAGGCCAACACACATTGTCCATAGACTGAACATTATGGTACTCATGAGCACTGTGAGGCTTGTTCACATAAGATGCTACCAAAAAAGAGAAAAGAGTCTATCTGTATTAATAAAATACTATCTCAAATTATGAACTTATTGTAGGGTTTTATAGAAGAGCAAGCAGGAAACTGCTAAAAAGTGAAGTGAATTGCTCAAGGCCACCCATTATTAAATAACAGAATCAGGATTTCAGGTGCCTCTTGTTCCAAATCCTGGACTCTAGCAGTACAATCTCCCATCCAAGTGACTGTCAGCTTACCTTCAGTGGCCCTCTGGTCACACACCTTATAAATTTGGTTGAAAAGCCTGAGAAATTCAGTTAGATGCTATAGAGCCACCAACTGCATTAAAAAGATGAGTCTTCCACGAAGCACATATAAAGAACTATTTAGTACTTCCTAAAATTATTGCGACTTCAGTAAAGGTTTTTCAATGAGTATAACTGATTAATGATAAATTAAGATAAAGATTTTAAAATATGATAAGTACCTAACTGCCAAAAATTAAAACTTTGAGCAGCTAATGACTACATGGTACTGTTACAGGTAAAAGTTGAACAAATAGCTTTCTTGTTTTGCAGAAGTAAGAAGAGAAAAATAAAACAAAAGAATGAATAAACAAATGGCTTTCTTGAGCTGAAATATAATTAATCCTTAAGTTTTGAAGTTTTGGCTTCCATCTCAATTCTTGCAATTCCACCTTACATTCTGAGACACATGGATGAATATTTTTGTTGCTCTGAAATATTAAAAGTTTTTTTTGAAATTGTCTTCTAAGTGTTTTTATATGGAAGATAATTTTAAAATTCTGAGTGTTCACATTCTTTATGATTAACAAACTCACTAACAGAACGAGAGCATACCTCATTGAAGAATTAATTAATATATTCTTGCTAATATAGATTTAAAAAGCAGTTAAGTGGCTTGCTCAAAGTCACGGAGCCAGTTAGTACTATAACAGGGGGTGGATTCTGAGCTAGTGATCCTAAGACTCTAAAGCCTATGAGTTTTGTTTTTTTTTTCCTATACTGAAACAAAGTAAAACTTGTTTTTGACAATGGGACCATCTTTATCTAGTTTTGTCTTAAAATTTATTTGGTTCTATTTTAGGAGAGCGTCTGTCACTATAATAAATAATCAGTTTCCTAATACTTTTTGGAATTTTTAATTAATTATCATTGAAATATAAATGGGACAAGGTTCTGCTTTTATTCCAGGTTTTTTTTGTTTTTGTTTTGACAGAGTTTTGCTCTTGTTGCCCAAGCTTGAGTGTGATGGCGCGATCTCGGCTCACTGCAACCTCCACCACCCGGGTTCAAGCGATTCTCCTGATTCAGCCTCTGAAGTAGCTGGGATTACAGCTACTTGGTGGCACCTGCCACTACGCCCGGCTAATTTTTTGTATTTTTAGTAGAGAGGGGGTTTCACCATGTTGGCCAGGCTGGTCTCAAACTCCTGACCTTAGGTGATCCACCCGCCTCGGCCTCCCAAAGTGCTGGGATTACAGACGTGGGCCACCACGCCCGGCCAATTCCAGGTTTTGATCTTTAATACACTTAGATCTGCTTATTCAAAAATGTTTTTCACTTCTCTGAGAAACTTCTGCCCACATCCACTTTTGTATCAGTCATTCTTCCTGGCTGCCTTTGGCAGATCATTACACAGATAAAATGCTAAAGTATAAGGGTAGGAACAAATATGGCAGATATTTACTGAAATCCAGTTATGTGCCACATGTTATGTTATAGGCTTTACAGACTTAAGATTATGACCCACTTTCCTATATCTAACTCTATTAATTATTTTTAATCAATTTTGTAGATTTTTCTATTTTTACAACGGCTATTTTAACATATTAGTATCAATTATTAGCACCTACAATGTGTTGGACATAGTGCTAACTGCTTTATATTTATACATGTTATATAACTGTCACAAGTAATTTGCAATGTATTATTTTATAAATAACAAACAAGATTTCAGAAAAGTTAAATAATGTATTGAAGTTACATGATCATTTTTAAATTACTGAGGACAAAAGCTAGAATGTGCAAACTTTTAAAGGTTTGGATGTCTACAGAATGAATATCTATAACACTACAATTAAGTAATCACAAGAAGACATTTAGTGACTGTAGATCTACTGGTTACATGGTTATATTATTACTGTTCTTTTTTTCTTTTCTTTTTTTTTTTTGAGACAGGGTCTGTCTCTGTTGCCCAGGTTGGAGTGCAGTGGCATGATCTTGGCTCACTGCAACCTCCACCTCCTGGGCTCAAGCAATCCTACCATGTCAGCCTCCCCAGTAGCACAAGCCACCACACCCGCTAACTTTTTTATTTTTTACAGAGATGGAGTTTCTGCCATGTTGCCCAGCTGGTCTTGAACTCCTGAGCTCAAGTGATCTGCCTGCCTCAGCTTCCCAAAGTTCTGGGATTACAGGCATGAGCCACACCTGGCCAGTTACATTATTATATAACTGAAACAAGTATAAAAATTATAGTTTTAAGAATAAAAGTAGTTTTGGGCCAGATGTGGTGGCATATACCTGTAATCCCAGCACTTTGGGAGGCTGAGGTGAGAGGATTGCCTGAGGTCAGAAGTTTGAGACAAGCCTGGCCAATATGGGGACACACCATCTCTCAAACAAACAAATTAATTAAAATAAAAGTAGTTTTATCTTTAAAAGTACCCAATAAAAAGAACCAAATGAATTTTTAAAATGATATTATTGGTAATAGTATTTAGTTTACTTACCTAATTTCTTACTTTGTTTAGGCTGAGAGGGTAATCCATATTCATCTCTTCTAATAGAGGAAACAGGGATTTCATTACCAATCTGTTTCATTTCATTCTTACGGTCCACAGTGTTAGAGCCATCAATTTTTAGAATTTCTTTAAGCATCCGTGTTCCCTTCTTTTTGAAAATGATTCACATGGAGATGGTGAGGGTGAAGCGAAGAAAGTCAACATTAGAGTTATAGAACTTACTGATCTTTCTTGGAAAGAATTCCATTGTTAAAAATTAAGACACTAACTACATTCAGATAGAAACTGAAAAAAACCCACCACCCACATTTCTGATATAGAAATGATACTTATCCTCCTGCTTAACTTTTACCCCAGTTACCTAGTAGCAATGTTTGAAAAGCAGGGGAATTGTGGTCTAAAGAGAAAAAGTATGGCTAAATTGCCCAGGGCAGCCTGGCTTCCTCACAAGATGACAATAATGATGTAACATACCAGCCTCCACGAGGGAAGTGTTTGAACACTTGCATGGGATATGTCTGCATGGTCAACAGTCGAGAAATTACCATAGTAAGAAAGTTCCTAGAAAATACGAACCATGGCAAATGATTGTGGTGACAAATGCTCTTCACTTGGAGGCTCCCCATGATGAGATGACTGTACTTCATTTTCTTTGGAGATATTCAAAGACGCTAAAAAGTTCTCAATTCCAGAATTAGGCTAAAAGAATAAATATTTTGGGCATGAAGATGAAAGTATAACACAAGAACACACAAAAAGCTGAGTTTTATATACAAAAATGGTCATTCAATTTCACTCAACCATCTTCCCAGGTGTTAAAAGTTTGGGAAGAGAATTTGAATAAATAGTTTTTTACTGTAACAATAGCATTTGAATAACCAGTCACAACCTTTTGGGTTTCTGAGACTTCTGGACTTTCATTTCTCTTTGATAGCTTAATATCATATTTGGTAGGCCCTTCCAAAGTCTACAAAAAAAGTAAGAATAAACTTTTTGTGCAAATATATTTATAGTTAACATGTAATAGTGTTCTAAATGAATTGTTGCAAAAAATTTTATGTGCTATTTTCCCTTTTATATCGTAAGAAAAGGGTGCCTATAAACTTGGATGGGGAAAATTACACCTTTATCTTCATTAACCTCTAAATGAGATTTAGCATTTCCTGCAATTATGAATATAGGCAACAAACCACTTACATGGTCTGCATGTTTGTATTCCCCCAAAATTCTTCTGTTAAAATCCTAACTCCTAATGGGATCATATTAGGAGGTGGGGCCTTTGGTAGGTAATTAGGTTTAGATGAGGTCTTCAGGGTGCAACACCCATGATGGTATTAGTGTCCTTATATGAGAGAAAGAGAATAGAGCTCTTTCTCTCCATCATATTAGATTATGAGAAGACGCATTATCTGCAAGCCAGAAAGGGAGACCCCACCAGACAATGGCACTTTACGAGATTCTAACTGTATTTCAATATAACTGGTTTTCTTTTAAATCTTTTTAGCATTAAAGACATTATTCTGCTAGTGCCTTGATCTTGGACTTCTCAGACTCCAGAGCTGTGAGAAATAAATGTTTATTGTTCAAATGTACCTAGTCTGTGGTATTGTTATTACAGCAGCCCAAATCAACTACGAAAACCACAACACTGGTGATTCTAATTGTATATCAGTATAACTGGTTTTCTTTAAAACCGTATGTATTTTATTTTAGCATTAAAAATACTGTTCTGAGAATAATAATGGCTTCGCCAAAAGTCCATGGGCTTCACCAAAGATGTCTATTGCACAAAAAGTTTATCAATCCCTTTTCCAGAAGAAAGGAAATTACAGTATAAGTTTCAAAAGGAGAGGGCCTTAAAAGTCAAGTAATTAAACCGTTTACCGGTATCTAAACATTAATGGGTTCCATTTACTACCTGTTATGTTCCAAATATTTAGCTAAGACACTGTTTATAAATTTAATATATTACTATAAGAGATCAATTTTTAAAAATATATATTAAAATATGATAGGCATACAGAAAAGTACACATCTAATAAATACACATGTCAAATTTTTTTAGATCAAAACTTTGTTATTCTTTCATTATAAAATGTATACAAAATCCTTGTAAACAGCAGAGACTATATAAAGTAAAATATAAATGATCTCAGCTTCCCCCACACCAATCTAATTCCACAGAATTTAGCCTAAGTTTGCCATTTTGTTCCATGTACTTCAACTGTATATGTAAACATATATTTCCATATTATATATAAGTGTGTGTGTAAATATATACATATAAAAGGCCATATATATGTCATATATATGGTATATATGTGTGTGTATATAAGAACATATATATGTAAGACCATACACGTCTGTGTGTGTATATATATGACCATATATATATGTCTATGTGTATATATAAGACCATATATAATGTCTACGTGTGTATATATATGTGTATACACACACACACACACACACACATATCAAAGACCATATATACTGGGAGCAACTACAAGGGATTAATTTTTTTTTTTGAGACAGATTCTCACTGTTGCTCAGGCTGGAGTGCAGTGGCGCAATCTCGGCTCACTGCAACCTTCGCCTCACGGGTTCAAGTGATTCTCCTGCCTCAGCCTCCCAAGTAACTGGGATTACAGGCACATGCCACCACGCCTGGCTGATTTTTTTGTATTTTTAGTAGAGACAAGCTTTCACCACGTTGGCCAGGCTGGTCTTGAACTCCTGACCTCAGGTGATCCACCCACCTCCCAAAGTGCTGGGATTACAGGTGTGAACCACCGCGCCTGGCCAAGAGATTGATATTTTTATCTCCACTTAAAGATGAGAAAATTGAGACTGTGAGAGGTAAAGTGAATTGCTCAAGGCCACCCAACTATTAAATGAGAGAATCAGGATTTCAGGTGCTTCTAGTTCCAAATCTGGGACTTTAGGTGTACAAACTCCCATCCAAGTGACTGTCAGCTTAACTTCAGTGACCCTCTGGTCCCATATCTTATAAATTTGGTTGAAAAGGTTTAGAAATTCAGTACAATGCTACAGAGCCACAAATTGCATTAAGAAACTGGTAACCAGAAATTTGATTTTAAGGAAGCTTACCTGCTTATTGGACATTTTTTGGGACCAACACTCAGCTTTAGGACTCTTACCCTCTTCTTTAACTAGAGACAAGAAAACAGAAATTTTCATAAATGGAAGTATTTACTGCACAATTAAAACTACCAAATATTTATAATAGCAAGGCACTGTGTTAAAAACTCAGATAATTTTAAGACACAGTCTTTGAACTTAAAGGAATTTATAATATAGATAAGGGGGAGAAGAGACACTTAGATAAGAGTAGTGAAAATGGAAAGGTGGCATCTGAATTGGGCCTCGAAGGATGGTAGGTTTCTAAAGGGCAGACTAAGAAGTTAAGTACTCCAGGCAAAGGAAATAGTGGGAAAAAAGACATGGAAGCAGAAAGTTAAGGAGTAAAGTGGAGCTTAAGAGAACTAAAAAAGCAGGTTAGAGCCTTAATTTGCAAGTTACTGAAGACTAAGCTATTATATTAAGTTGGTAGGCAATGGGCAGCCAATAACAGAGAGTTTTTGAGCAGGTAGTAATCTGATGAGAACTGTGCTTTAGGATGATTAAAATATGGCAATAGCCTATTGGCTAGATAGAATAATAATACAAGACCAACTCAGGCAGCTATTTGAATAGCCCTGTTAAGGGGAAATTGGGGGATGGTAGGATAAACGAAAATAATGAATTTGAAAAATTCTAGGATTCAGCTAATGACAGGATGTGAAGATGAAGGAGATAGCAAAGGATGAATCTGAGAGATTACTTTCATAGGATTTGGTAAATGACAGAATATGAAGATGAAGAATACGAGGGGCATGAGGTAGATTTGAAGAAGCAAAAAAAACATACTTTGAAATTATTGCATAATATTCTATTATACTGGATATACAGGATTATACAGATCTACTATAACTTATTTTTACCACTTTCTATCACTAGACTGTTCATTAAGCCAGCCTGGAAAAATAAAAAGGTGGGTGGAAAGAGAAGAAGAAAAAGGAAGGAAGGAAGGAAGGAAGGAAGGAAGGAAGGAAGGAAGGAGGGAAGGAAGGAAGGGAGGGATGGAGGGAGGGAGGGAATATTAAAAAAGAAAGACTGAGGAAAGAAGCAGGGGAAGGGGAATAGTGAGGAGGGCATGGGAGGGAGGGAATGCGATCAGAGACAGGGGAAGGAAGCACAAAGGGGAGAAGGAAGGGTGAGAGAGGAATAGAGAAGGGGAGGAAGGGGAGGAAAGGAAGGTAATGGAGGTAAGGAAGAGAGGAAAGGAAGAAAGTGATCTTATGAAACAAAGGAAAAGAAAATGTGAGCTGACATGCCTTGACAGTGAATATTTGTTGAGACATACACAAAAGAAAACTAATTGAAACTCCGCATAACTCAAATCGTTTACATACATTTATGTAAATATTAATTTGAAGAAAAATTAAAATCCATTTGAATATAACACCTTTATGCTATATTTATCATTATCAGATTACAGGGACATTAATCTGTATTTAACTTAAAGAGTAAAATAAACCAAAATAACATATAGATACTGGTATTAAAAAAGGTATAGCAGTTACCAAACTGAACCAAAGTTAAAAACCACAAAATTTTTTTGAAAACAGCTTTTTAGAAAAAATGTTTAAAAGATTTTACTACCTATAATATACAGATAAATAAAGTGTCATGCATATATAAAATATAATAAGTTAGACTCAGGGCTCTGCACTTGATATTTCCTTTACTGGAAAGTTCTTCAGCTAGCTTTGCACAGTTCATGCCTTCTTGAACCCTTTATTAGGGTCTCTGCTGGAATCTCATCTCCTCAGAAAGACCTTTCTTGTAAACCCAATTTAAAAGAGCACCCCTGTCACTCTATCCTCTTAATCTGTTTTACTTTTCATCATAGCACTTATCATTACTTCAGATTATGAGATTTACTGTTTACTTGCTTATTATCGGTCTCCATCTTAGAGTGTAAACGCCATTATACTCTAAGAGGTCAGAAAATCTGTCTTCTTTTTCAGTTATATATCCTCAGCATCTAGAACAGTGCCTTGTACTCAATAAATAGTAGTTGAATCAATAAACGAGTCATAATTTGAACATAAAGAATAATTTTCTGATATTTGGAAATACTTTGGTCAAGGGAAGAGAAATAATTACTACAGGATGAAGATTCTCATTCCTGACTGTGCCTGAACACAGTAGACACTACTGAATAAATTTAAAGAGTATAAATATATAAATTATGTAAGAGAGAATATTAACAAAATATTTGCACCTATTTTAAAGAAAAGCCTGTAATATAATTTGGAGTATATAATAGGTAAGTGTTTATAAGCAAAAAAGTAACTGGATCACTCTAAGATTTATCTCAAGTAGTTAGGGAAGGGACATCAGCAAAAATGTCAGAGTAAGGACCTCCAGAAATACTCTCCTCCATAAAAGCAACAAGAGAATGGGCATAAATTAGCAGAATTCATATTTTCAGAACCACAGAAGTTAACCAAAGGCTTGCAGCAATCTAGGGAGTGTTTATTCAAGAAAAAAGGCAGTGGGAACTTGAGTACCTGCAAGCCTTGCCCCCATAGACTGAAGTGCTTTGGAGCTCTAAATAAACCTGAAAGGCTGTCAAGGCCACAAGGACTATACATCCTAGTGCTGAGTTGGGCTTGCAGCCTTGGATTTGCTAGGCATGTGACTTACTGAGACTCTTGCTGGGGCAGCTAAGGGAGTGCTTTTGCCACCACTCCCCCAACTCCCCCAACCCCAGGCAAAACAGCTTGAGGCTCCAAAAGACATCCCTCTCTGAGGAAAGAAAACGGAAGAGTAAAGAGGACTTTTGTATCTTGGATACCAACTCAGTAAGGCTTGTGTCAGAGTCATGAGATCCCATTCCAGGCCGTAGCACTCCTGGATGACATCTCTAGACATGCCCTGGGCTAGAAGGGAACCTACAGTCCTCAAGGGAAGAACCCAGTCTTAGCAGGATTTGCCACCTGTTAACTAAAGAACCCTTGGGACCGAAACAACCAGCAGCGATACCAGGTAGTACCCATATGCCTTGGATGAGACTCTGAGACATGCTGGCTTCGTAAGAGACCTAGCACATGCCCAGCTGTGGTGGCTATGCTGAGAGAGTCTTACTTGAGAAAAACAGAGGGAAAAGTAGAGGAGATTTTGTCTTGCATCTTAGGTACCAGCTCTGCCAAGTGGGACAGAGCACTAAGTGGGCTCTCAGGGTCCCCAATTCCAGGGTGTGGTTTAGATGGCATTTCTAGACCTGCCTTGGGCCAGAGGGAACTCCACTGCCCTGAAGGGTAAGTCCCAGGCCAGGCAGCATTTATCACAAGCTGACTGAAGAGCCAGTGGGCCTTAAGAGAACATTAGCAACAGCCTAGCAGTACTCCCCATGGGTGTGTGGTTGGTGATGGCCACAGGGAAATACTCCTCTGCCTGCAGAAAGTGAAGGGAAGAGTGGGAAGGGTAATGTCTCAAGGTTTCAGGGCCAGCTTAGCTGCAGTACAACACAAGGTAGATTTCTAAGGTTTTTAAATCCAGTCCCTATCTCCTGGATGGCACCTCAGGATCTACCTGGGACCTAAGGGAACACATTTCCCTAAAGGGAAGGACACAAGCCTGGCTGGTTTCACCATCTACTGATTATAGAGCACTAGGATCTTGAGTAAACACAGGTGACAGCCGGGTATGGTGGGCTGCGGGCGAGATCCAGTACTGTGGTGGCTTCAGGTCTGACCTAGTGGAGTCCCAGTGGTGGTGGCCACAGGGGTACCTGTGTCACCCCATCCCCAAGCCCAGGTGGCTCAGAAAGAGAGAGAGAGACCCCACTTGTTTGGGAGAAAGTAAAGGAAGAGAACAAGAGTCTGCCTGGGAATCTGGAGAATTCTTTTGAATCTTCTCCAGGACCACCAAGACGGTACCTCTGATTTTCTAAGAACCACAGAATTATTGGGCTAGAGGTGCTCCTTAATGTAGATACGGCTTAGATCACAAAATCCAAGTCATTTCAAATACTTAGAAAGTGTTCCCAAGAAGGACTGCTACAAACAAGCCTAGACTTTGAAGACTATGAAAAGTATCTAACTCTTTAATCCCCAGACACCAATGAATGTCAACAAGCATCAAGACCATCCAGCAAAAAACATAACTTCAACAAATTAAGTAAGGCAACAGGGACCAATCCTGGAGAAACACAGATATGTGACCTTTCAGACAGAGAATTCAAAATAACTGTTTTGGTCACGTGCGTTGGCTCATGCCTGTAATCCCAGCACTTTGGGAAGCTGAGGTGGGAGGACTGATTGAGCCCAAGAGGTTGAGCCTGCAGTGCGACGTAATAGTACCACTGCACTCCAGCAACAGGGCAAGACCCTGCCTCAAAAACAAAAACAAAAAATAAAAACAAACAAACAAAATCCCCAAATAGCTGTTCTGAGGAAACTCAGAGAAATTCTAGATAACATAGAGAAAGAATCAGAATTCTATCAGATAAATTTCACAAAGATATTGAAATAATTAAAAAGAATCAAGCAGAAATTCTGGAGTTGAAAAAAGCAACTGATATACTGAAGAATGTATCAGAGTCTCATAATAGCAGAACTGATTAAGCAGAAGAATTAGTGAGCTTGAACGGGTTATTTGAAAATACATAGGCCAGGCACGGTGGCTCATGCCTGTAATCCCAGCACTTTAGGAGGCTGAGGTAGGTGGATCACCTGACATTGGGAGTTCGAGACCAGACTGACCAACATGGAGAAACCCCGTCTCTACTAAAAATACAAAATTAGTCAGACGTGGTGGCGTATGTCTGTAACCCCAGATACTCAGGAGGCTGAGGCAAGATAACTGCTTGAACCCGGGAGGCAGAGGAAGCGGTGAGCTGAGATTGCACCATTGCACTCCAGCCTGGGCAACAAAAGCGAAACTCCATCTCAAAAACAACCAACCAACCAACCAACCACACACACACAGAAGACAAAAGAAAACAGAATAAGAAAGAATGAAACACGTCTACAAGATCTAGAAAACAGCCTCAAAAGGGAAAATCTAAGAGTTATTAAGCCTTAAAGAAGGTAGAGAAAGA